AACTTCTACTCTTTATATTTCAAACGGAAGAACTATTGATATGCTTTGGTTGAGGCTAAATTACGTCCTGTACACTATTGATTTCTTTTATGATACTATACATTTCTTTGTAGATACCTTTCTTCTGAGAACAGATATAACTATAAATTATCTTATTAATCAAAATGGTTTAAATCACATACAGATTTATCAGAATAGCATACTTTAACAGCAAAATTAATTTCTCCAAAATGCAGCTCATATTACTTTAATAAAGAATACTATTATTTAATCTTTTTTTTAGAACCAGAGAAATTAAGAAATTTAAGAAATCTTTTTTCTTATATTTGAAAAAATAACTCATAGTTCAAAGATAAAACAGTATTTACCTGAAATAGTGTATTAGTACCACTACAACTAAAAGACAGACGGCGACCCCAGTTACAGGACCGATATAAATAGCCTGCTTAGAATTCGAAATAAAGTTGCCATCATACAGAGCTGTCGAAAAGAAATATTGATTTATTTTAATTGATAAAATGGTCATAAAACACATTAAAATTATAAAGTTAACAAAATAATTTATATAGACATTAAAGGACTTTTTTTCAAAAAACGAAAAAAGGCATTTTGACAAGTTGTGGAAAGCTTAAACTAAAACTTTAAATTAATCACAGGCTTGATGAATTAACCGCATATTGTTATTAAACTAAACAGTAATAGGCTGACTGCACATATTCAGCTGTAATGCATTCATCAAAAGATCAAAACTCAATCCCACGATTCGAATCCAAATAATTCCAGACATCTGCTTGCTATAGTAAAATTCGGTCACTAAGAACTCGCTCATAATAAATTATCAGTCCCAGGGAATTAGTTTTTGATTCCGTTAAATGCTTTGCACTTAATTTTTAAAACCGAAATGTAAAATTGAAGTATTAACGACTTTTGTTTGACGGAACCCAAATTGAATGTCCTCGTAACTGCATAAGTGCTAAGTTTTAATGTACTTTTGAAGAATACGATTTTCTTCATAGCCAGCTTTCTCCTCGGAATCTGACTCTAAAGTAGTTGGAAAACCCCCTACAGTGGAAATTTTTTGCAATTAAGAGCCAATCCCAAAATTATTTCTTGGCGTAGAATTTTCTTTATCATATTAAAGTTAAAATTATACATGTATTAACAATATTTTTGATAAAAGTTTAAATGATTGTCAACTACAGATTCTTTTAAGATATGTAAAATTTCAAATATTTAAGTCTCGAAACAAAGTTGTAATCTTACGGTAATGGAAAATTAGTCGTGTAAAATATTGATTTGCCTCAACATTTACCTCTGGGCAGCTGTATCTGTATGTTCACGATTTTTTTTTCACCTCATAACAGGCAATCACAAGATATCAAATTATATGTTTACCCTCTACTTTTCAAGTGTTTTATCCGTTGACCCGTGCTTTTCTCAATCAAAGTTCACAAAACAATTTAATTAGGAGCAGAGCAAACACGGACCTCCAAAATATCAGAGGTGGGATCAGGTGCCAAGGAGGAGTGAGCATCCCCTACCGACCAGTCACACCCGCCGTGTACTCCTTGTCGACGTTTTGATATTGGTAGAGAAAAGAGAATATATGGAAAGATTTATAGATTACCATTTTGACATTTCGCATCAAAGTAATTTCCATCACACCCAATGGTACATGTTCCATTGTTTCCATGACAGGTTCCGTTCATACAATTAACGCTACAGGGCTTCTCACAGTCCTCTCCGTAACGGGTAGGTATACAACCTGTCAAAATAAAAATCAAAATATACTTTTAAACAGTTTCATTAAGAAAAAATTTTCTTGAAAATGAAGCTTTTCTATTGCATGTATATCAAACAACTAGTGCTTATTGTTATGAAACCTTTACAGACAATCCCAAAACAGTTCCCTATATCTAATTATCGTATATCCCCAATTCATTGAATATTTCATTCAGAAAACAAAACTATTTAAAAATTAATACTTAATTAATTTTTTCAAAGCAATAAATTACATAAAATGAAAAAAAAAGAAATATGTTACTTTTTAAGTTAAAGTCAATAAGATTCAGCGCAAGTACATTAAACATTGCGGAAATATAAATTCAAAAAGTGGTGTAAATCAGATATGTTAATTTAACTAGTACAAGAAAAAATGTTTTCATTCCCCTTACTCCGCAAAAAAAGTCATAACTTATACACCACTATTTTGCATAGTTAATTTTTTTAAAGACGTACAACACACTGGGGGAGATAACTCTTGCGATTTCAATTGAACGTTTGACGTGACGTTAAATTTAACGTCAAAAATAAAGCGTCAAAACGACGAGTAAAACGATCCCGATGTATATCAATTATGAAAGAAAATTGGGATATGGGGCTTGGCTGTGATTGTGCGTACCACACTCAATCAATAAGTATTTTTTAATTAACCTGATTAAATTCCGTAAAAAGCAAGACATAAAATACCATCCCTTAATGTTTATTTCATTTCATTTCATATACAATAAATTGTATTTTTGATCAAAGCGCAGCATTTTTTTTTTATTCAGAAAATTTTATTTTACATTGCCGAAATTCTCGTACAATTGGCTATATAACATTCCGATTAATGGTCTTCATTACAATTTGTGCATTTATGATATAAATATTGTTTTTCTTCTTTAATTATATAAAACAACAATAAATACTCGATGTAGACCCTTACTGATCAAAGAGGAACAACTCTGAAAATGTAGGAGATGTTTATTTTCCTCCCTTTATTCACGGTTTTCCACAGAATCAGATACATTTACAGCAAGACCTGATAAATCCGAAAATTGAATACTATAGACCTCATATACACAATGTAAGTATAGAATTGAAAAGAATTGTTCACTTGTACTGAAATTATCTGCATTGATGAATTATCCTATTGCAGCAAATCGTTTGACTTTCTGTCACCAATGTCGGTTCGCATTTCCTCGAATCAAAACAAAACGTAGCCTATAAGATTTTAAAAAAATATCAAAAAGCGATTTGATATAAATTGAAATAGATGAAGAGTTTAATGTTTGATATTTTGAAGTTAATTTGGACGAATACAGAATTTTCATTTTAACTTTAGAAGCGACGACATTGAAAGAAATGCGTACAATATCATAAGGGGTGTACATGTATGCAAATGTCGATGTATCCCCACGTCCACATACTGTCTCGTTTGAAAAAATGACATGAAAGACACTACAATTATTCCATTTATATCACAGGAGATTTGAACATACACCATTTTTAATGAATAAAATTAAAGAAACAAAATTAAAAATCGACATATTCAAGTTCAACAAAACTTGAATTCGTATCCAGGTTTCATGTGATATGGAATGCATAACGCATACATATATGGACTAAACACTAAAATCCTTCAGTAATTTTTTCCTGATACATATAAAAAGAGTAGTCAATATTTATTCTGCATTCATGAATTTAAAAACTAATGCTTACCTCCGGGATTCAAATGACGAAATACCAGTATTTTGCACTGTAAAAGACGTTTCGTCAAACGCTAATGATCTGCGACGCAAAAAAGGAAGGGGTGGGAGTGATAGGGGTATTCAAAAATTGCCTAAAAATCTACATTTAAATATGCTTTACATATGAGAACTTTTAAATTTGTAAGTTAATATATTTTTGAAGCAAAAGCAATATTCCAATTTAATTTTTTTAATGTGTATTTGTAGATTCATATAACAAAGTGATCGACCCCCGTCTGAAAGACGCGCGGGAACGTGATTTATAGAGAAAGGGGGAGGGGGTAATTTTTCGCTATTAAATCAAAACTGGTCGTACAAAAATTATACAAAAAATTATGAAGATTATTTTTACTACCAGCTACCTAAAGAAAGTTTTTTACCAAAATTAAACGACAGGTTTTTTTCACAAAAAAAATTTGAATTTAAAAAATACGCAATTTTCAAGGCTTAGATAATTCATAGTTTTCCAGTTTAAGGTCTTTAAAAATTGTTTTGATGATACGTATATCAAAAAGATGACTATGTTTTTGAGTTAAATGGTTAAAGGAATAAGCCAATGAAATTTGACATTAATATCTAACCTGGCTTTTTTGAAAATCAAGGTTTATGTCGTTCATTGATTAAAAATGTTCTCTCCTTATAAACAACTAAAGGGGGGTAACTTTTGGAAGTTCCTGTCCAAAAACCACTCGAACGATTTTGTCCAAAATGTGCATACATGCAGTAGATATTGTCACGTACTAAATATACAAAAATAACGAAAATTAAACGACAGGAATTTTTTGGGGTACGTGTGTTGTACATCCTTAAATGCATATATATTTTAAAGTCGAGATTCTTATATTTATTACATCCATGGCACCTGCTCCCACACCTCCAATGTTTTTGGAGATCCGTATTTGTTCTGTTCATACTTTGTATAATTTTATGGACTGTTGATCTTGAATACTGTTTGTTATCTCCATATGTTTCATCTGAATATGTTTCCAAGACATTTAAAACATAATTAGGGGACATCAACCCTCTGATAACAGATAGAACTTGCCAAGCCAATAAATAATAATATTACTCACAGTTTACCAAAGTGACACCGTGACGGAAAAACGGGAAAATTGACAAAAGTAGAATGTTTGTATGACACATTCAAATTTTGTGCAGTTCTTAAAGATTTCAAAAAATCCAAAAAAAAAGAATCAACATTAAGGAAGAAAAATAAAAGTTAAAAAGAATCTCTGTATTACACAACACAAAAATATTGTCTTCCTTTTTATTGTACGCATGCGCTGAAAAGTTGCAAAATTTACCATGGTTTATGTCGGATGATACTAGTATTGTACTCAAACAGTTGCGCGAAAATTATTGTTAAATAAATTGACATCGCATTTATTTATCTAAAAGAAGTGCGGATTCAAATAACAAAATCATTTATAGACACATCTGTAATGAAACTGAAATTCAGTTGTAAATGTTTGATATCATTGCACTTACTTTGACACATTTCTCCTGCAAAATTTGCGTTGCATCCTCTGATACAGGTTCCATTTCCATGATCACAAATCTCATTCAAACAGTGACCGCTACATCTCTCGGTACAGTTAACTCCCCAGAATCCAGGCTCACATCCACGATTACAGAATCCGCTATATTTGTCGCAAGATCCCATATAACAATTCGAGGGACAGTTGTATAGACAGGTTTGTCCCCAGTGCCCTCCTCCACACGTGTCACATACACCATTTGAGTAACAGGTATCCCCGAAACAGTCAGTACGACATCCTATAAGACAAAGCATTAAAATAAGGTGTTTATATACTATTAAAACATTAGGGATATTTGACTTACAAGGAAAATGAAATGCAGATCATGAGGTCAGGAAAGAAAAAATGAGAGAAAAATATTGAGAAAACATCTGTCAATTTATTCAAAACCCTGTGTACAGTAAGAAATGACGGATTCTCCAGAATGAGGGTCGACACCAACACAGGGTCATAAGGCATTGTGGAACAGAATCTATAGTGGTTAAAATTCTCTCGGTTGGCCAGACAAGCTCGGGTTCAGTGCGTGAGATAAACGAGACGAATATTTATGAAGGTTATTCATCGTGTTGCAATGCTGCAGTAAGTGTTTGGTTACTGGCAGGAGGACTTCGACGTTCGCGTAGCTATTGTCAAAGCATGTCCCAGACATTCTTTATGGAAGAATGTTCCGGACTGAGTGCGAACCTTTGTAATGAAGTGATATTCTGCTGTTGGAGTAAGATGCTGGACCTATTGCATCAGACATTATCATCTTGAAAAATGAAACAGCGTACATTACGACTTGCAAACGGCACATCTGGGGGGCAAAGACGTTCTCCCGGTAGTACTGCCCTGTGACACATCCAGCAACAACATATTCAAGTCTCTTGTATCGGCAACAGTGATGCCTTCCACACCATTACAGATGCACTCCCGTACTAACTATGTCTAATAACTTTAATGTCATAAAAACGTTCGTTACGTCAGTACAAAACCCTAAGGCGTCTGTCCAAAAATTCCACAGTGAACCTCGATTTATTTAAAAACATTACATGGTTCTATTATCGCAGTGTTGATGGTGACGACACCATTGTAGACTGGTCATATCCTGACGATCCCTCATAACATAGAATGACACGAAACATCGGGTTTGTATAAGTTGTATAAGTGAAATCTATGCAGTCGATTCCTGATGGTCTTACCACTCACTAGTAAATCAGTGTTCATTTGAAGATGAGACCTTATCTGCTTTGTTGTTACCAGTCCATTTCTAAAAGCAATAGTGCAGATAAATTTGTCCTATGCCTGCGTTGTTGCCCTTGGTCGACCACATCCTGTATTTGACGGCGCATAGTCTCGGTTTTATTGACGACTTCAACAACTGTTTATCTCATTCTTTCTCTTCAGAATCTTTTTTTAGAATGGCTTTAACTTTTAAATTCAGAAGCATGCACATTTATGGCACAATACCCTTGATCATCAGTAGCATCCCGTGCAGATCGTGAGAGTGTGACTCTCCGAATTTGAAGGGCTGGATGATATGCCATTTATGACGTGTTTATTGCTACATAAACTCTCCATCAGTATCCCCATTGTCCTCTTATTCTTCAATTATATAACAGTATAAATTAATGCAATATTGAAAATTTGAACTTTGTTTATGGTTTAAAATGTTATATGTCATGAATATGATTTTAAGGTATAGTTGTTTTTTATTTCAATGTTTAGGAAGCCAAAAATGTATTTTGTACACAAACTTCAAGGTACCCCGATCCTCAGCCAAGAAGGATAACTCTTTAATTTGTATTTCGATTCGAAAAGTATCAAAATTAATCTTGCAAATTAAATTTTTTCATACACCAATTTTCATTTTATACCTCTCAATGAACTTCAAAGTTCTTCAGAGTTCTCAAAAAGGTCATATTAAAAGTAGAAAATTTTACTTCATGAAAGTATTTTAATTAATACATATTTAAAGAAAATGAGGTTCTTATAATCTAACCGTAGATAACAATGTTAATTAACATGATATAAAATTAGAAGTGATTTATAGTGTTTTGCAATGATAGGAAAATCTAAATACGCTATGGTTGTAAAATGATGGAAGTAATTAAAGAAACTAAAGTACCTAATATGCGCTAAAATTCTGCAATTTCTTCAAAGGTCTGGATTCATTTCCTTTTTTTCTAATATATATTTGTTGATCAAATTTTAATTTAAAAATGCATAGCAAGACTAGTACTAATGTTTTTTTTGGCATTTCTTTAAAAAAAATATCTGAGATTTACTAATTTTCCCTAAATTTAAGAATTTACTTTAAAGATGAAGTTTGAAGAATTACCGTGGGTAAAAACACATTTGTATGAGCTTTTTCAATTAGTCAATGCCTGATTTCAGAACCCAAGGATTGGAGCACCTTAAGAATAAACTTTCAGAATGTGAGGTGAGGACCCATTCACACGGGGAAGAAATATCGGTATATTATGATATTAGAAGAATGATTTATTTTTCCTACTTTGGTATATGTATGTTTATGCTATTTCATAGACCAAAAAATAAGTCTTTGTAATTTTTTGGAAATTGTGGAGATCTTACCTAAGGTACGAGGGCCGTTCAAAAAATAATGTCCTGAACTATATGACATACAATACGGATATCATATGCCATTAAGCTTGACTTTTTCGCATCATTGAATCTTTAATGAATTTAATTTATAACAATATGTGACCACTTTTCAGCACATAGTTTCATTGTGAGAAGCTGGAAAACAAGGGCTATTCGAGACACTGCATTTAAAATGAATAGTAACGAATCAGTAAACTATATATAGAGTGAAATTAAACGCTTTATTAAAGTTGCTGTTAAACTCGTTCAGAATCCGAAAGAAATATTCACTGAAATATGTAAAATTTACGGCAACCAATGTCTGTTTTACAGACAAATAAGCAGGTGGATTTCAATGATGAAAATTATATAATGGGCATCAAAAATGGGCCGTGTCCTGGCCAACAATAAAATATTACAACTAATGTTTTATTTGCCAAATTTCAACAAATAATCACTGAAGATCTATGATTGACTTTAATTAAGACAAATCGCAAATTTGAATGACATCATATCGGTAGTAGTTAACACTTTTTAAAGAAACGTTTGACAGTAAAAAAGCTTAGTACTCAAAGGTCACCATATGTTTTGAAAAATGAGTGAAAACGACAGCGTTAAAGAATATCTAAACAGTTATTTTAAAATATAAGTAATTGAAGTTATTAACGTTTGTTTGAAATTCAAACAGATAGTGAAATTTGAATTTATTGCTTAAAACTCTCAAAACGAAATTTACAATAAGGTGTACTTGACAAAAACAGCAAAGGTATGAGAAAAGCAGAGAATTGCAAGAGCACAAAGACAGATTTATATGCAATTTTCTTAATTTTAGTGGTCTTGATGTTCAAATTCGTATTCGGGGAGGCAATTTAATTTCTGGAGGTGTCTGGAAAGCAATTTTTTTGCAAAAATATCAAAAGCTTAATTAGAGGAAGGAAACAGAATCAGGAATCCACTACATTAAATGTCTTTATGACAGTGTCCAAACCCGCACGCCCTGAATATTAAAGAGGTTTTTGGGATAAACAGAAATTTTTTTTTTTTTCAAATTAACAATATTCGCCAGATCTTTTGCCTTTTGACTTGTTTCATTTTCCAAACTTGAAAAAAAAACACCTTCCAGAAGGAAGAAACGAGTCGAGGAAATCATAAGATCTGCCATCTTCCAGTATACTAAGGGTCATACCCCAAAATGAGTACTAAAACAATAAGAAATTGGATTAAAAAATATGGACATGTGTTATAATTAATAGAGAATATTAAGTTAAATCATTAAGACTAAATCATTGAAAAACGTCTTTTGCTTCTTTCCGAGCACCGAGGACATTTTTATTGAACAGCCCTCGTATTCTTTAATTTAGATGAGAAATCAACATAAATTTTCTTATTCATAAATGAGATTTAACTCTACACCTTCAAATTTGGCACACCAATTTGGGCATTTTGCTTGCTTTGTTTGTCCATTTTCTTTGCCAAAAACAGTAATATTTTTGTGCCCTAATTCCTTAACATATTCTGGTTCGATTTTCTGCACAATTAACCAATAAATAATAAATGCTGAGTCTTTTCATCATCAGTTTCAAAAGTAAACTTTGCGAGAACGTGTAACAAACTGGGCATCTGATCCCACCTTTGGAATATATATATATATATATATATATATATATATATATATATATATATATATATATATATATATATATATATATATATATATATAATGATTTTTTTTAAATGAGTTTTTTTTTCATTATGCCATTTTTTTCTTCAAGCATTTTATGATCTTACCAAAAATATCTATTTCACATATTTCTAGGATAGACCCATTCTCCAGTGGGGGATTTTCGAGAGCATTATATGTGGTTTCTAGGATGACATAACGTGATGTCTGTCTACAAGGAATGTCAATCACAGCAGGGGGCGTGGCTGGGTATGTAGTGTTGTCCTTGTAGCATCGCACCCTCTGTGGTGTTAATGTGGTGGAGACAGCTGCTGATGTGTTTGATACATCCAAGTAAAACTGACGAAATCGGTATGGTTTCCAGTTAATTTCTAAGAAGATGTATACAAAATAGACATTATACCATTTGATATATCGGTCCCTTTAACATGTTTAATCCATGCAATTAAAATAATCAACTGAGGGAACGACATAAACTTCTTAAATTATCCTCGTCAATTTGTTTCATTATTTTTATATTTTCCTTGGAATGTGTTCAAAACAGTAAAAAAAACCCAGACATTTATTTATTATAAAATCATTATGGATTCGTTGCCAGAAGTTAATAAAATACTTATTTACTAATACATGCTATACGAGGTCATTCAAAAATATATAGACTTCTAAAATTTAGTTATTCAGTTGTATATAGCACACTATAATTCAAACGTTCAAATTGAATTCACTCTCAGGTAGTTCTCTTAATTGCTTAATTAAATGTGTATAATTGTAACGGATTTATAAACCTTAAAAAGAAAGTTACGCTGTTCTCAGAAATTAAGTTTTTTAAACTTTCACAACGTTGTTTTCGACTTTATCATATTGCTGAATTCTTCTTGATGACGGAACATGTTGGTTTTTATATTAAACAACCCAACTTCTATTTAATCATATGATTTATAAATGGAGAAAACAAAAAGTAATCAAGCTTTAAAATCAATTTAAACAATACCAATCTAGAGCGGAGTAAATACGGACCTCTAAAATCATAGGATCACTAGCCATGAAGGAGTAAACATCTGTCGATCGGTAATACACGTCCAATAATTCATTATAAATGTACATTTCAATATATTCGTATGTTGATTTTAATTTTAGTCAAATATGATGAAAAGCGACGTTGTCAACGAATTTTAAAAAAGTCAGTATATCTATTTTCATAGAGATTTTAACATGTTTAAACAGTTAGTTTTGTAAGTTTCATGGAATTCAATGTCAATAAATTTTCAATAAAAGTATAGAGAACGAATGAATTTTTTGCATACAATATCAACAATGATTATATAAAAAAAAAGACACGTTTATTTCTTAGAACGTTCGTGATATAATGTTGATAGGCATTTTTAAGTGAAATGTTTGAATGGCTACATTGAAAGTGGATGTGTGTAGATTTATGCAATCTAGAGTTCTTAAAAGAGGTCATTAAAATCATGTAAAAAGCTACATCTCAGAGAAATTAAATTTCAAAATTAAATCATGATTAATTACATAATTAGATCATAATCATCATTGGAGCGTTGGTCATAATAGATTTATCTATATACGTACCATTCCTGTAATAAATTGTCACAGAGTTTACTCTGAAGGGTCTCCTCAGGTCAACCTGAATCCACGCTATTGTTCTGTTAGCCGCAGTGTGTGAGCACTCTAAAAATGTCTGAATGTAATTCCTATCAACAGCTTTTGTTGCAGAAAGACGTCCTCTGTCGGAACTTTGTGATGCAATTATACCTGGTTTTCTGCACAAGTTTTCTAAAAATGGATATATTGGTGTAAAAATAAATGTCACACAATATAAATGTAGTTCATTGTGGACTTTTGCGGAGACGATGACTTTTACTGTTGACACTTGGCTTCGCCATTTAAACATGTAATGTATGGAGGTACAGAATTGATCATAGATAAAAAAAACTTTCTAGTGGTCATAGGTATGGTGTTAGGGGCATTAGTATGTGAACGGGGCGGTATTTGAGGGTCATATTCTTCATGGGCAACTAAGGCCGTTGGCCTGCTGTTCAATCCATGTTCATTGTATACTTCTTTGTATATTATGAATAAAATACTTCTTAAACTAAATTAACTATTAAACATATGTGCTGCATTTCAGCCCGCTATTTTCGTGTAATTAAATGCTGAATTTAATACTTTTATTGGTCAAGAGCTTCCGTATATTGTCCAAGTGTAAAAGTAAGCTGTCGACTGTAAAAGTCGGTGCTCTTCGCAAAAGTCAGGTAATAAGCATATTCATGAAATTAAATTGAAATGTAAAAACACTACAGCTGTTTTCAAACTTAGTAGCAAAACTTCGCTTCTAAAGGTCGAATAACCACAGAAAAGTGAACATTTATTCCTCATTCCCGCCTTCATTTTCCGCATTAATAATTTGGCACATTTTCAGAGTATTCCTCATAGTAATTGATCAGATTGATTAATAATACTATAACCATGGGGTGATTTATCAATATTCGTTAATTAGATCTCTTAATTTAATAGGTGTAAAATTATTTTTAATGAAAATAAATTTTTAAATGTAACCGAGTCGAATTTCCTCTGTGAAGAACTATAAAATTATAGTAATTTATGAATTGATATGAATTAAATTTGCACCAGATACAATTAACAATAATGCCTTTTTTCATATTTAAAAAAAAATTGTTCTGCATATAAATGGCGAAACAAAACTATCGTTTGCAGTCCTTTTGTAGTCATTGTTAGATGAATACATGTATGTACATGCTAATGTTCTAGATTTTGTGACAGTAATGCTGACTAACGCATTCTACATTAAACATCAAGAGAGTAAGAGGCATTTTGTGCCCATTAACAGCTTGCCATTAAGCTTAAAGTTTTCTGTTTTAACTTGCAATAAATCAAACATTGCTCCTTGTAGTCAACTTTGTAAATCTAGGAAAATGTACAGTAATTATCCAGGGATATAAAGACAGTTAAAATATCAATTAAAGAGGCGAAAGGGCTATATCGGTCACCTGCGTATAATACAACGTTAACGCTGAAAAGGATACCAAAATTAACTGATAGATGAAGTAATGTTGCACACGAATTTCAAGAATCTGGTAAAAAAATATCAGTGCTTATTGTAACGAGCTAGACCCGAGTGATCTCCATGGAATCATACTTGGTTTTCCCAAGTTTTACAGGGATGATAATGAATGTAAAATATGCAAATACTATAGACACTTGCCTATAACGTAAGGTATTCAATATATTCAGATATGTTTTGTCACTTGCTTAGTGCTACACTTAAGTACACACAGACTTGGGTATAAAACTTGGCTATTTCCCTCTCTCACGTATTACAATAAGTCTCATTGCTCTTTGTGATTCTTTGTTCAATTTGATAAAATATAAAACAACTGTTTCCAGTGTCCAGGCCACCATGACTATATCATAACAAAAATTGCAGTAAAAATAAGAAGATAACATATGTAATGGATTTGCATTAGTTGGCTCAGCGAAGATTAGCTTAGCAGAGATAACACGTGCGGGCGAGAACAGATGAAAGCAATTAAAGAGACGAACCAATAAAAGTTGAACTTTAACCAGGACGGTTCTAAGAAATGAATCATTGGAATGCAGTTTTTCTTTTTTATCAGAAGATGTATTTGGTTAGGAGGAAGGAGCGTCCAATAACATTTGAGTGACCAGGGGTCAGTTATACGAATAAATTAGATACATCAAGTGAAATTAAAAGAATTTGCAAGAGACAGAAAGTAATTTTTAAAATGCATAAGTAAACTAGGAGTGTTGGAGAACAGAGTGATGATATTTAAAAATTCAAAGTTGAAGTTAATTATTGGAAATTTTGAAGGCGATCCAAATATGTAGATGGAAAACGGAGTAAGAGTTGAGGTATAAAATGAGCGGACGACGGACATACGCCAGACAAGAGCTGGATTGTGTCTGTCTCTGTTTCATTTTATACAGGTAAGATTATTTGGTAGACTTGCGCGATTTTGTAAATTATTAAGTTTTCAGATGGTTTATTTTATTTTCAGGTTTAGATTGTTTACATTGTAACACAATAATATTTATCATAATGTTTAGTATTGTGTGTAAAATTATTTATTGTAATTATAAAATAAACGGATTGTTTCTTTAAATAAAGACAAGAGCTGGATTGTGTCTGTCTCTGTTTCATTTTATACAGGTCTGGTCAGGGAAGGTCCTCATGGCAAAAGGAATTGCCTATCGCAACATCAAAGAAAGATCTAATACAATCCAAAAGCGGAATTGAGTTATTCCACTTGGTGTGTCCTCTCACTAAAGGTATCACACCGGTAATTGACCAATCAAAATGAACTTAGTCAAATGTAGGTCCATATATATAAAATATTTTTTCTTTCCTTTTGAGACGTTTTTCTATTTTCTTCCATGCCATTTTTACAACTTTGGTACCTGTGCCTAGTAAATTTTATGTACTTTGTGAATAAATAAAGGTTTTTGACAGGAACTATTTTTTTCATGGCATAGGAGGCTACTTCCTGTAGTGCACTCGAGGTGTTTATAAACACAGTGAAAACACGTGGATTTGAGGGTAGCCGTGTTTGCAGATGGAAAAAGTCCGAAAATGCCGTGTGGGTACCCTGTTTTTTGGTGTCAGCTAATGTGACAGGTAATGTTTAACACCTTTTGCTAAATATTTTTTCATGTAAACAAATACCCGATTTTTAACGATTTTTTATTCTATATAGAATTATATAGTGAAAACAATTACCGGTGTGATACCTTGAAGGTGATTATGAAAAATCATTTTAATCCTTATTAAAGACATTTTTCATTTTTAAAAGGCATATTTCAACAAAATATGTGATTTTATTAACTTTTTGTTTGAAAACACACAATTTTAAAATTAGAATTAGAATTTACATTTTTTTTTCACAGATTTCTGTGTAAAAATTAACAATAGGTTATTTTTTACACTCAAAACTTTAAAATATGACTAAAAAGGTAGCATTATGCATCTAAAATGTGGAGAGAAGTCAGAGAATATTGTTTTTTCATTTTATATGACTTAACATTATTTGCACCAGCTGACCGCAGTCAATAATAGTGTCTACAGACTTTGCGGTAAAGGGTGTTAAAGCTGATTTTTCAAGAATAGACTAATTCTAGGTTTGCGAATGAATTTTCAGCACAAGCGACAACTGCGATAAAATGTAAACAAGTAAAATATGTTCTCACAGAATGATAATTTCTACAGACACATGATTTATTTTAATTTATTCACACCTCCAGTGATACATATATTACTGCATTGGAAGAATAGAAATAATGAAATGAGTCAGATCTGTCTAATAAACCTAATACATAAGCTACATAAGTAAAATTCATTAAGAATTTTTCACAGTAAGGAAGGTTATGACCAAAAAATCCTGAAATACTGTCAGGGTCTGCATGATAATACTTATTCTGAGTTCTAACCATGCATCATACATGTAGTGCACAATGTCACTTAGCACCATGGCATGCCTCTTGTGGTTCTCAGGACTTTATTCATGCTTTCGCAGCTGACATTCATGTTTTTTCAGTTTGTCGGAGACTGTTTTTTGTTATTTTTTCATTTATATGTAGGTGTTGACTGTCACTTTTGAATTAAGTCTCACTCAGTGAGGCTTATATGAGCATGATCTATTAAGTATATCATTGTACTGAAATATTAATAAATTCCAAATTTAACTGATGAAAAAATTTGGCATATTTACATAATTAAAATATCAGAATAACTATAATTCAGCTAATAAGGTGCACCTTTCTTCTCAGATTACTTCCTATAAATTTGATCAGCAGTTTTTGTACACCCACCCACCTCAAAGAATCATGGAGGATGTCCTGAATCTGGTCTCTGTGATGTATTTTGTCACATAGAAAAGTGTTCAAACTCATAAAAATGTTTAATATTTATATTTTAAAATTTAAATGTTTATTTTTTATGTAAATTTGTTAAAACAAAAAGATATAATCTTGCATAAATCATGGAAATTCATTAGACACCTTTTGAATTCCTGAGTAAATCCATGAAAAGAGAATAATTATGCATGTTAAATTGAAATTTCATGGCTAATTTGTGTCTTAAGAGAAAGCCAGTTACATAAATCACAACAATAAATTACATCTGAATTGTTGTCTCCAGTTTCTTATCATCAAAGCCAGTTTAATGGAGTGTGGGAGCTGTGAAGAACCTCCCTAGATGCTGATATGATTTTGACTGCCCTGAGTTACAACACAGCATTTAGATAAACTTCTGCACAGCAGCTTGTAGACAAATACCTAGGCTTTATTTGGAACATAAATTGACCAGATACAGTTTTCATTATCAACCCAGTATTTAACAATTTCTGTATTTTTGTTCATTCCTTTAAGGGGAAAATGCAACTTTGTTATGTAATAATTACATAATGGCCTTAGACTTGTAAACTCTTTTCTGTTTGTGATGAAGAACAAAGCATATACTCTCCACAGATAAAAAATTGGTTGCTAAGCTTATTCTTTTAATGATGAAATTCTGCTTCAAAAGATGCACAAAAAACTGCTTCTAGAGTGCTCTGTGTGTTATTCTTGACTGCTCTGGAGTAAGGGAGATAAATGCTTCATATCTTCAGAAATAAGGGGATTTAGATCACCAGACTTAAGGATGTTGGGGACAATTATTTAATGAATCTCAGGTGCAAAAATGGAAAAAATCGAACACCTCCAAAGGTCCTTCAAATAAAAACGATCCCGGGTGTAAATGAACAAACTTATGATCGGCCAAACGTCATTTGGGACTCTGCCTCCTCAAACTTTGATGGTTGAGGTGTGATATACAGTTATCATAGGCGGGAGTCCTCAATGAGGTTGACCC